AAATTTTAACGCTAGACCAGCTATTTATAGCCATACAGTTACTCTAGAAAAGTGGAATAATTATTTAGGTTTAAACGTTTTCAAGTAAACAGTCTTAACTGGACTCCCTCCCCAATCAGCTTTTTTAAAACGAGTTTGTGAACTATTTAAGTTCCAAAGTTCTTAGAGGTCTATGACTTCAGCCGTTGGTTAAAGGATATTTTCACAGACAATGAATTATTTCACACAATTGTTTTGGTCACATTTTTTCACACAAAAAGACAAAATCACTCAATATGATGCAATACAAGCACCCAGATGGTAGTGCAATCGGTAATTTTGTGTTACAGTTATCAAAATCAATGTAAAAATATTAATATCAAATGCTATTGTTGTTCTGCTTATGTGACCCTCAGTGGGTCAGCGGTAGGATAATGATTTACAATGCGATAAAATCCGGTGTTCGATTCAGAGCGCAGATAGTTCATTGTGTTTGTTTTGAATTTCGCACAAAGCTACTGGAGGGCTATTTCCGCTAACAGTGCCTAATTTTGAAGTGACAGACTAAAGAGAAGGCAGAAAGTTAACACCATAAACCTCCAACTCTTGGGCTAGTCTTTTTCAACGAAAAGAAAGATTGACAGCCACTTTAAAGGGCCCTCATGGCGGAAAGGGCAAGCATGTTCGGGGACGGGATTCGATCCCGCGACCTCCAGATTGCGAGGCGAGTACCGTAAACACCAGACCACACCAGGTCAGTCCATTTTGTAGCAGGAAACAAAAAATAAAATCTAAATTGTACTTACGTTATTGAATCTATCATGTCCAGACCCATCTCAACAGCACAGAGGGCGTGATCTGACCGAGCTTCTGGAAGACCACTAACACAGTAGTAACAGTCTCCAAGAATCTTGATTCGAAGACAGTGGTTGTCCTATGAATAGAACACGAAAGTAACGATAATAAAATAAGTTTTATTAATATATCTTACAACTAACAGACTTCATTCAATAAAATGCCGATAAAGTAATTAGAAGAAACAAAAAAGGATGCAAATTATTTTGGATTTTAGAGCACAGTCCTAAATATTTTCTAGAATTTCAGTTTCGAGATTTGTCAAAACAGATTGGGGTAACTGAAGATGGGATAATAAAAAAAATAGTTTCATTTATAATGAGATATGGTGTTTTCTTATCTCAAGTCTAAATACACGAAAATAATTTTGGTAACCCTATTTTTTCTTTTTAAACTTTTCCCCGAAATAGCAAAGTTAATAACAGAAACATTTTAGTGGGTTGGTAATACCTTTATTGGAAGAACGTGGCTGGATGTATTCTACTATCTACCTTTTTAATAACTCTTAGAAAATATGGAACAGGGTTGAATACCAGCAATTAGAAACAAACTGAGTAGTTAAAACGGAAAGGTTTCATAAAATAATGCATATACTTCTGTTATTATTAGTATTGTATTTTGTGTGAAATTTCCCGTAATACTTCCGACAAAAATGTTGTAATATGTTTATAAATAGACCTGAATTTTGTGATAAAATTTACGGAAGTTGCAGATGTTTTTTTTCCCCCATTGGATTCAAAGTTATAGGTGTGAAAAATTAGCATGTCAGATTTTTTGTTTCCCACAAGAGGCCTTTTTAATACCAGAAATCATCGATTGGACTGGATGATGAAAGACAAAAGATTCTCAGAAACGCCATTTATATATGCATTTATAGTAGTTGCGGTTTAAACGCCGAAAGCTGCTGAAAAATTGGAAACCTAAAATTTGAGGAAATAACTTATGTGAACTGCAGATTCCACCCCACCCACATATCTCATAAGTGATAAAAGTCGTGTAATCTACAGATGTTTTTCCCCTCACTCTTTCTTTTTAATACTGTATTTACAAGCCTCCTATTTTGATTCCGAAATGGACAAAAAATTTTTGGGCCTATTGGTTTCTAATGCTTCGCCAGCTTTCAATGTTTAAAACGTAACTTTTAATTTATTTAATACATAATTTTTAAGCTTTGCATCAAATACTCGTCAAGATTCAACTAATTACGTGATCAACGAATAATTAAAGAGATTTAGGAGGGTTGAACAACTCCTACTCTGGTTTGACGACAAAACAAGAGATGTATTGAAGTGTACAGAAAAACAATAATCTGAGAATCGTCTGGAAAGGCCAGGTGATTGTTTAGGGCATTCCTAGACATTCATAATGGGATGTTTAGTTTTGAAAGTATTTATCTTTGAATACAAAACAATTAAATTTAGAACATTTGTAGCTCCTATTGTTCTTAACTTTCTACAAAAATGACGTATAATTGGTATTGCTGATTCGGGCTGTTTCACTTAAAGTAAAAATAATAATAATAAGTCGTGGTAGAAGAAATTTTAAGTTCAGTTAAGCCTGATTTAGTCTGAATGTTAAAAATTACACACAAGTAGATTATGCATAAAACCTACTTCGTCCTAGGTAAAATGCCATTCAGTTAGTTAATATATATAAAATATATATGTTAATATATTATAATAATACTCAGTTTTTGTATGTCCTTAAAATGCATGCGCGCCTTACTATCTAAATGCGTATTCGCGCGCACTTCATTTCAACGAATGTAAACAAAAGGTTTATGTAAATACACTTTAGTAGACGTTTTAATTTTTTTTTAAGTTTTTAAAAAGGTCTAACGTTAAGTTGTAGAATAAGTTTATTTACTGATAGTATAACCAAACAAAAGCAAAGCAAAAAACGTACACAAGTTACATCGTTAATTTATCTCTTTATTGAATATAGGCCGTACTTAATAAAGGCTTAATTAATGTTAGGCCTAAAACAAAAAAGTGGAAAAAGAATTATACCACGAAAAATGGCTAATGTTAAACAGATGTTTTAATGTTCATAATGTTTCGGATTGGGAGCTCTGCCTCTAAAATCACCAGAAGAAGGCCGTCCCAGACAAAAACGTTGTGAACAATAAAACATCTATTTAACATCAGCCATTTTTGTGGCATGTTGTTCTTTTAGCAGATTTGATTTTTTTAACGTTAGGCCGAAGACGAGTAGACTCATGGATTGCGATTATAATTATTTTGTATTATTCTAGAAATCCTGTATTTAAAAAAGTAATGTTGCTATAAAGATATTAATTTGACCGCAAATGTTTCGCGGGTCTCTGCTAGTATATACCCTTTTTTGTGTGTGTAATTTGGCCTATTCCGATTGGTGTACTTATTATTTATCATTGTTCCTGTTTCGACCAAAATTACATGAAAATAATTTTGCCTTGACCTGAACCCACGACTCCCCATACCCCAGCTCACACTAATATTCTTTTACCAACTATTACTACTGCTTCAGTACTAGAGTACTGACACGTTTTTCTCCTGACCAAGTCTGACGAGAGCTTCATGGGAAGGACGAGTATTTAGGCCACATTTTTCTTTGGACACTTCGAAGAATAAGCCCAATGTTAATTTCTCCGGCCTCTCAGTGGGCCTAATTCTGACCGTTACACTGCCAATGTGAACTATTCACAAATCCTCTAGACAAAAAATAAATGTTCGAGTTATCGTTATATTTTGTTTTCTTATATTTCAAAATGTTTGCTACCGGAACAAAATCAATTAGTAGCAACGTTTTCCAGTAGCATAGTAACGTGATCATAAAAGTACCAACTGTTTGGTAAGATAATAAGAATTAAGGTTTAGTAACGACGTTGATTTAACAGCGAAATCATGTCCCCTAACGAGAGTAAAACATTTTGTGAAATAAACATATATCTATAAAACACTTTCTCTATTTTGTTCAAAAAACAAAATTTCTACAAACGATTGTTTTTCTTTTATACTTTTGAAACTATTTATTCGTATACATTACTTAGTTTCAATCTGTTTTCATCGTCTACGTAAGAAAAAAATGGCTGAATAACCTTTACTTAAAGCCTTTCAAAATTTGAAGTGCATACTGGAAGGATTTACACAATTTGGTAAAAAGTTTAGAAAAAAACGACTTTTATACTCCAGATATATATATATATAAAGTGTCTTTGGAACTAACATACAGCCTGGTTAATATAAGATCTATTTTCTTTCTTATTCTATATTAATACTCACATTAGCTAGTTGATCAAACCTTCCGAACAGTTCATTCAACAATCTAACTAGTTCTTGCGCTGTACACTGGGAGGCCAACACTGTGAACCCAACTATGTCAGCAAACATGATGCTAGAAGACAGAATAATAGAGTTTCTTACACTGCTAGCTATTTCAACAAATTACAAATCAATAAGAAAAAATTAAATTACATTATAATGTCTGGTAATCATGAGGCATAATAATGTATTCTCAATATGCTTTTATTTTCAGGGGAATATATATATACAGAACAGAAGGTTAACGTGTTACATTAAAAAGATTTTTGAACCGCATTACGTTATTTATAGTTCACTTCGCCATGTGCGGTCTTGTTCTATCTGACGACAGTGCAGCTTGACAATAGCCCTGCAACACAGTTTCCATGGCAAAAGGTTCCGTTGTAAAGCTGTCACGTCCAAAGCACAACACTCCTTTCTATTAGCTTTCCAGAATCCATCTAGTGTACGAGAATAACGGTTTTGTCCTGCCCTGCCTATCCATAGCTGCCGTGTTCGGCTACTTGACCAGTATGTCTTTGTAAGGAATAGCATGAATTTGCGCTTGAACAGGAGATATGTCTGGAAGCCTTATCTTGATAAATCCCCGACACAACATATCTCAGATAATTAAGATTTGTTGAAATCGGAGACTTAGAATATCTAAAACAAAGATAAACCCTACAGTTAACGACGTTGGAAAACAACTGAATATGTATCAAGTTGGGGTTCTAAAGCTTTCAGAAAAAGACCTGCAACAAGTTGTACCCCAGTCTTGTAACAAGTGATAATCCACGAACACATAGGTCAATGGTAAAAGCCATTCACGTGCCTCAGGCAACAGTAGACACCATAATCAAGAAAGATGTTGTATATAAATCACTTTCACAATGTATGAATGGAATACCACCTATAAAAAACTATGAACAGTATTTAGCTGTGGAAAATAACTACGTGATGATACTCAATGAATCGTATACCTTGATAACTGTAAAGGTCTCGTGCCATTTTCTACTGGTCAGTGGGTGAAAAACTCCCAAAAGTAGTGCGCAGCATGTCGTGAAAGGGATTCATGATCACTACTGGATCCTGTGCCGGGGGCAAGTTAGGGATCAGGAGAATAGATACAAACGTCAAAGACAAATTCTGCTTACTATTAGAGCAATAATTGTTCTGGATCCTTTGTGCAATACAGAAATATTGGTCTTATACATAAACGAAGCCAACAGGGTATTAAGGGCTATTTACATACCTTTCTCAAAAACGATAATTTTTCGGCAGCATCACATTAACTACGTAACGCAAAAACAACGTCAAACGTAGTTCTGATACATGCCGTCCCATCGCGACTTTATATCGGTGGGTGGTTTTCACGTGACTTGTTGATTTGGATATTAAAAATCGTTTTAATATAACGTAGTCGACCCTCTGTAATATTGAAGGTATTATTAATACGAACTTCTGCGTTACAATAAAGAATAGTGTATGATAATATTTCAACCACACTATATCTACTGTATCTAGTGCCGACGAATCCTTTCGTCTAATACCAGATCTCGTCAAGCCGGCTAGAATACAATAGACACACTGGTGGTTGAGACGCTATTTATTTTAACAAACTGCTTGACAATAACAATTATGGTGTAAGGCGTGAACGGGATTAAGTTGTTGAAGTGTATTTTTCATCAATTTTTTTGTTCACATCAAAACGCAATAGAGCTAGCGAATATATATTTGTCACTATATTATTTATTTATTTTAATACGTTATTATAGTTGTATTCTATTACTATTCTGTGAGAGTTATTTAATATTGTTAGGAAATACTGTCCTGTTTTAAGAGGTAAATTTCATTATTATTATTAATATCCAAAACATAATGGAAAATGATAGATACCAATTTCAATTAGTTTCATTAACTAACAATTTTAGAGTTAGCGCATAATTTCATAGCTAGGACTATTAATTTGTATCCTTATCACGAAGATTAGAATTTCTAGCGCTGGAATTAGTTCAGTAAGCTTGCAGTTTAGACGTATCTTTTAGGTTGCTCAACTTTCTTTGTCCAATAGACTTTATGTGTAGATTGAGTTTAGAATCGTATAATAATGGTTTTTCTATTTCAGAAATATAAGATTTTTTCCAAATACATTTTCCGTTTTTCCGATTCCGGTGTCTTTGAATATTCAGTTTTTCCCAGGTATAATCCTTTTCGTTTTCTTCATTAACATCAGCATCTTTTGAAATTTTCACAGTATCAGTTTTTATGGTAAGGATCTCAAAGTTAACTATATTCGCACGTTTGATTCTTTAAAAACCGACCTGAATCTTATGTCATACAGCCTACACACACATATACAAACACTGTATGGGAAAGTTTTTTCGTGTTTTTTTTCTCCCTCCGAATTGCTTTCACCAGACCTTCAAGTTTTTGCTGGGGGCTATTCATTCATAACATTTTATTCACTTCTTTCGCTACGCCTAATCCTTGATTGATTTATTTCTCGGAGGTCATAAATTTCATCACACCTTCATGCACGGTTGAAAACTAAAATTTGTGTTCTTGTTTTTTTTTTTTAATTTATCACTGGTAACAGACAAGTAAACAGTGATAATACTTTTTATACTTCTAAAGAACCAGATATATAACTTGTGTTTTGTGTTAATTATAAATAACTTACCATTCAGTTTTAGTGTTAGTATTTTCACTTTATGAAAGATACCAATTTCAGTTAATTTCATTAACTAACACTTTTAGAGTCAGTGGATAATTTTATAGCTAGGACTATTAATTCGTATCCTTATCCCTCCCTATAGTCTCCATGGAATGCCACAAGGTGTCTTGTAGCCCATTCGTTGAGGAGATTTGTTTGGTTTGAATTTTGCGAAAAGCTACACGAGTGCTGTCTGCGCTAGCCGTCCCTAATTTAGCAGTGAAAGACTAGAGGGAAGTCATCTAGTCATCCCCACCCACCACTAACTGAAAGGGCGAGCATGTTTGGTGGGACGGGGATTCGAACCCGCGACTCTCAGATTACGAGTCGAGCGCCCTAACCACCCGGCCAGGCTGAGGAGAATGGTCTGTATTAGGTTCACTGATGTTGGTAAATGATTACCTATGGCGAATGAGGCATACAAAATCATTCTCAAGATACGTATTCTCATTAAGATATGTTGATTGTGATAAGCAAGAAGATAACTTAAAATATCTGTCTCGTCATTCAAACCAATTCTTAACTGTACGAGCGTGGTGGCTTGTTGTATGATCGACTTGGAAGAGCCTTGTTCACCGGGACGACAATGCAAGGTACATTTTGAAGGTTTATTGTCCTTCTCAAGGAATCAAAGGACCCAGTTCCTAATACGGGAACGTTCACTTCGGTCAATATCAGTGCAACACAGGTAATATCTTCTAGTTTTTCTCTATTTTTACTTTACCTACCATATAAGCGAGGGTGAAACGTGACATCAAAACACACCACGTGCTTCTATCATTCAATGTCCACATTGTGACCTCTGAAGCCATACTTTTCTGTTTTCATCAGGAATAAAAGACTTTTGGACTCATTGTCATAGCTCTTATAATATCCTCCCTGTAGTCTGATTGGAAATAATAGATTCCTGACCAACGATGAAAGAATGGCTCAACTGGGACGCAATATGACATCTGCCACACTTCACAAGTTTTGTACATCGTTTTATTTTCCTCACTAGCGAATGGTGGCAGATTTATCTCGCTGTTTATAGATTCTGATGACACTATTAAAGTCTTTGATTCCGACTCTTCTACCAGATAAGGTCCAAATATCAGACTCTCTAGAATATCTTTGCTGTTATCCATTGCAGATTAATTACGGTATAATTAAATCTCTACATTTGTGTAATTCAAGCATCACTTGACACATCACGTGATCAGTATTTTGCACATGTATATAAGTGGAGTGTTCTACAAATGCGTGGCCAGGGGGGGGGGGTCTTAGTAACGTGACCAACCAGTGCAGATGTACTACAGACACACATTCTTGTTACCAGGAAGACATAACAAACTTAAAAAATATGTTTTTATTTCGTTAGTCTCAAGCGTCTGATGGATTCCAAACACCCTTCTATTCACAAAAAAAACATTCGAGGGAAGTCACATTAACGAATTTGTCTAAATGTATGTATCTTAATACGGTCTTAGATTCCAGCTGATACTTTTTCTGTCCATCAACAGATTGCTTTCTTTTCTAGCTGCCCCCCAGTAGCACAGCGGTATGTCTGCGGACTTATAACGCTAGAATCCGGGTTTCGATACCCGTGGTGGGCAGCGCACAGATAGCCCTTTGTGTAGCTTTGTGCTTAATTACAAACAAAATTATTTTCTAGCTTTAAACATTTATTATTACTAAAACAGTTATATTGGATTATTCAAAGCAGGATAGGTGATTGTTGAAACATTAAATAATAATAACTCTTGGGCTACTCTTTTACCAACGAATAATGGGATTGACCGTCACATTATAACGCCCCCACGGCTGAAAGGGAGAGCATGTTTGGTGTGACGGGGATGAAAGAAAGAAGAGATTAGGGTTACAAAACAAAATTCGCTGACCCACATTGCAGATACAAAATCATGCAAAAAAGAAAAATAGTGAAATTATAACAGAGTCGTGAATCATTTTGAAAATTCGTATCGTTAACGTTTAAATGTCAAATGTGATAGAAAGTTTCTTACATATAAAAACTTTTCACGTTAAATATGTATTGTTTCTCATGCATTCAACATATGACGTCAATAATGAGGAACAGAGCACTCGAAAACACACAAAAGATCGTACGTTTTATTTTAAGACAAGGAAATGTTTTATACGTTTCTTCTTTGATCCGGTCCAGTAGGCTGTCTTGGAATGTTTTACCGATACGTGTATACAATAGACTCTATTGTTCCTGAACTTAATCTAATATAATAAAGGTTTAATGATCACAGTTCAAACAAATCGCCATGAATAGTCTATAAAAACTTCAGATGGATGTATGCACACAAAGAGAGAGTCGCCATGAACAGTGTATGAAAACTTCAGATGGACCTATTCAGACGAAGAAAAAGTCGTCATAAATAACGTTCAAATATTCAGATGGACGTATTCAGACTGAGAGAAAGTCGCCGTGAACAGTGTATAAAAACTTCAGATGGACGTATTCAGACTGAGAGAAAGTCGCCATGAACAGTGTATAAAAACTTCAGGTGCACGTATTCAGATTAAGGGATTATAACATTAAAGTAAAATCATCACAATTGTTAAAACCAGAATTTGCACCCCCGGTAAATTCGTCAATAAACCACATTCCTATGTTTTAAAATATTAGATAATATAAATGATAATTTATTATATCCGTCATTTTTTAAAGAATTTTGTTGGTAGACGAAACATGGCCTTTTGTCTTCATAAAATTTTAACTACTAATGTTTTGACATAAGTTATACTTACAGAACTAATTACTTACTTATTTTATAATCTGAAGTAAAGTTTTTGAAAATCGTTTTAATACTAAAGTAAAACAGTGGAGTACTTATGTCATCTTATTCATTCTATTTGTATTCAAAAATTATTGAAATAAAATGTACTTATTGTTTTTTCAATACTCCTGATTTAACTTCAGATGGAACACTTCTTTGGACTATTTAGGGCAAGGACATAGCTATATCGAATGTCCACGAAAATGGGAAGTTGGCAGTCATTTGAAATTACTAAAGCCTACAACTCAAAACGTAAGAAATTTTCACTTTTTTTTTTGCCGGAGGTGAAAAATGAAGCCGGAACGGCCCTCGAAAGTTTTTTGTTTTTTTTTAAAGCAACGTCTTCTATTTAAAAATAGATTATGTCATAAACTAAAACTAAAAACTTTCAGCTGATTTTACACATTTGAAATCCCATTTTTAAGTGTGTTTACACCATAAATGAAAAACACTTTGAAGAAAATAAACACGTTTTTTTAAAAAAATAAATATTTACCTAACGTTGTCATATCGTTGAATGTAAATCTTGTGAAACTGGCCCTCTCGCGGTGAAATAATGTCTTCTTTCATTTCCATAGCAACATGTTGTGGTAACACGCTTAAAAGTAGGCGTTCCTGGAAGCGTTGAACATAAAAACAGTCTAAATTAGCGCTTATCTTGACAAGTGAACGTATTTCGAGAGTTTCTGTTCAATATTATTTAAAGCATTTTAAAATGTAATATCTTGTTTAGCTCATTATCATATAACACTGATTTCTGCACACGCACACGTATGCGTCTTATATAACTACTACATATTCCTGTAATATACAAGTTAGCATCAAAGGGTACAAAGACTCATTAAAAACTGTACGTCGAAGAAAATTATATATATTT